TCTTTGCCTGATTATGTCTACATCCCTACTATATAGTAGGGCAGGGATCCTCAAATCTGGCCCACGAGATCCACTTTCCTGCAGAGTTTAGCTCTAACCCTAATCAAGCACACCTGAGCATGCTAATCAATGTCTTCAGGATCATTAGAAAATCACAGGTAGGTGAGTTTGATCAGGGTTGGAGCTAAACTCTGCAGCGCATTGGCCCTCCAGGGCAAGATTTGAGGAACCCTGTAGTAGGGCAATAAACAGTATGAGAACTGGGTAGCATTTCCAAATTTGTACTATTCATAACAAACAGTAGGTACAATTTCCAAAGTGTGCATCCAATGCATACTTTACTGTCTCGTGAAGCCACAAGTCACATGTAGTATGTCTAAATTTCATTCATACTACATACATGTATGCTATATAGAACATACTGTTTACTGGTTATGATGTTCATTCCTCATCGAATGTAGTACCTACTCAGTATGCGTTTTTGGACACACCTTGTATTTTTTGTTGGTGCCGTTTGAACTCCATTGACTTTAGTTTTATGAACAAAAATAATTGATATTACAGTCTTTCTCTGGAGAAAAATCTAAGTAGCAGTAGAATTCAGTAAAGATTTCATATTGTCTTAAAATAATGTCTTTGTTATCTAGGAGAAACAATTTCCAAGTATTACACACCCCATATATTTTTTGACCTGTTGCAAAGCAGTGGTCCCTCCGTTTGGAATGACGACCCTTGAAATGTCCTGATGCCCTGAATGGCAGAGAAACTGTGTAGGTCTGATGAGGTCACTGTAGTTATTCTCTATTCCATGCCAAGGAGCCATATTGGCTGCATGTGTTGTGCTTCTTTGTGGGCAATTTGTGCCTAACATGTTGTTAAAAATCTCCGCTCTCTCTTTCTTCCAGATCCGGCTCCCACCCCTCTGCCTGGAAGGCCTTCACCGTAAGTCCATTTTCCTTTCCTCTGTGCCGTACCCCATCTAAAATCCTCCATTAAATATAGCAGAACAAAAGGGGAAAAAACTTGTATAAGCTAATTATTTAATTGCTCCTTCAAGATTTGTCTGGCTAAAGCTTTTCCATTTTATGTGTGAGTGAGTGGATGAGGTAGACCTGCACAGAAAGGAATGCATGCTCTTGTCTGTAAGATCAAATTTGTTCAACAAGGATGAATTAAATTATAAATTACTTATATAATTTATAATTTTATAATGTATAATTTATAATTAAATAGTATATTTTATTATTAAATGTAATTAATTATTAAATGAAATATTATTTAATTATTATTAAATATTTAAAAAGTTATAAACTGTTGACAAACTATAAACACTGCATTTCAGTATTCAGTATAACTTATTTTCACTGTTGTCAAATTAAAGGTTTATATTAGAATTGAGATAATTTGAAATTTACAATGAAAAATGACAATAAAAGCTACATTGCAGAGCTCATAGTTCATTTCAGATGTGTATCAGGGACTATTCTTAGTTGTGGTAATTAAAAACTGTTTTTTGCTTTTCTGATTTATAGCTTTACAGTGAGCCTTCCAGAAACTTCAGCAGGTCAATTCTAGGTTAGCAAAGACAAATGAAGATGTTGTCCATGTTGCTTGCATGTGTCTTGTTTAAGGCTGTAGGAACTGCAGTATTTGTATGTCTAACTTCATTAAAATCAGCCAGCACCTGTTTGTGCTAAAATGTACAACCGGCCTCACCACATGTTTCTGTTTCAAACCACTCAGACTACAGACAGTGCATTAATACACTGCCTTCATGTTTCTCTTTTAATCTTACCATATTTCCATGCTGCAGGCTTCAACACCTACTGTAGCCACTTAGCATGGGAGTGTAGATTTATGATAGCATTTAGATCCTGGTAATACATTCAATTTAGTGCTATAGTTTTCGCCCTCACTAGCATCTTCTCATATTATGTAGCAAGTTGACCCACTGTTAGGAGTAAACAGTCGCGTGGTTTTTATTTACAGTACTGATGCGAATCTCAAAGTGGTGCAGATTACATTTCTAAGCTTTGTGGATTGTCTCCATCCAAATCAAAGACTGAACCCCTGACTGTTTGACGTGACTGGCCGCGCTCCAAATGACATTAATATTGATTAAAGTCCACAAACCCGTCTGTGTGCCTCTAAGCCTCGTACAGACGACAGCATGGCTCGTTTTGGACTAGCTGCCGTCATTGCACTGAGGTGCACAGAGATCCCTATGAGCCATATGTTGGCCTGTTGGTAACCATTAGTGTCATCATCAAAGAAAGTCATCATGTCAGCTTCCATCAAGAGGAAAAGGGTCAGTATGCTGTCTGTTTTTCTTTACGCTCTTTCTCCTTTATGTGCCTTCTTTTTTTCCGGATACGTATCGAAGTGTCAGCCTCGTCTTGGTGAGCGGTACCTGGTAAAGAGAGTGTGGGGAGAGGGTGTCCCTTGTGTGTTTTTGTGGCTGGGACTCTAATGAAACTCTTCCTTTAATGAACTCCAGAGCAGAGGTGCATTTGCAAGCCTGGTGTCAAGTGCATAGACTGAGAGCTGAACTGGCCACAGCTGGTCTTAAACTGGCCTTGTAGTGGGGAAGAGAGGAAATATGAGAGAAAGTGTAGAGGGGTATTGATGTCTAAAGAGCAAAAGGTCAATGAATGGCAGGGTAAAAGGGATGAGGCACAAAAAGGAAAGAATGAGGTGACACATTCATAGATTAACAGTATGGAAGCTTGTTTTTGTCCATTCTGAGAAATAAGAAAGGTTTTACCATTTTGACTTGAGAAATTTGAGGCAATCAGTTTCCACAGGTTTTCCAAGTAAGTTCAACTAATTACTTTTTACAGCGTAGTGGTTTAGTGCTGGGAAAAGCAGTTTTGAAAGAATCTGAGTATTATAGCCTGATAAAATATCCCTCACTTACAATTGTGACTTTTTTTCTCATATTTGCAAATTATGTAGCACTAATGCAACTATATTTCTTGTAATTGCAACATATTTTACACTTATGGCTTTATTTGTCATATTTGCAACTTCATGTCTCACTAATGCAACTGTATTTATTGGAATTTGCAACTTAATTTTTATGTATTGTGATTTTATTTTTTACAATTGTGACTTTATTTCTCATATTTGCGACTTTATGTAGCACTAATGCAACTATATTTCTTGTAATTGCGATGTTATATCTTACAGTTGTGACTTTATTTCTCATATTTGCGACTGTCTCACAATTGCTACTTTAGTTGTTGTAATTGTAACTTAATTTTTACATAACTGCAACTTTAGATCTTACAGTTGTGACTTTATATATCATATTTGCAACTTTATATCTCACAAATGCAACTTTATTTATTGGAATTTGCAACTTAATTTTTATGTAATTTTGACTTTATATTTTACAATTATGACTTTATTTCTCATATTTGCAACTTTATTTCTTGTAATTGCTACTTAATTTTTATGTAATTGCAACTTAATACTTTTTACAATTTTGACTATTTCTGTAATTGCAACTTTATATCTCACAATTTTTACTTAATTATTCCATAAATGCAACTTATTTTATTTCTCATAATTGTGACGTATCATATATAACTTTTTGTAAATTGTAACTTCACAATCTCACAACTTTGACTTTTTTTTTTTTTCGTAAATGCAACATCTCACAATTGTGACTATTTCTCATAACTGTGATTTTTTTTCCTGTTTTTTTCTGTAGTTGTGACTTTGTCTCAAAATTGTGGCTTTTATTAAATTAATAAAGTAACAGTTAAAACATATTTCAAAATATCCTCTTCCATGTTCCACAGAGGAAAGAAAGTCATACATGTCTTGAATGGCATGATGATGAGTAAATGATGACAGAATTTTCATTTTTTGGTGAACTATCCCTTTAAAAATTTGACCATAATGGAGTCCCATGAGCCCTTTATGACACTGGAGGTTGTTTGTTTGATGAGGGCGGATTTGGCTTTGATTCAGTGATGTGAGGTTAACTCTGCTTTATCTGTTGTAAGCAGAAAGGCTTGAATAAGGTGAGCTGGTCTCAAAACAGCAGGTAGGGGCAGCGTCTACATACAGTCCCCTTTTGTGTCAGATGCTCACCACAGCTGCACGTCATGATTGCTCACACTGAAGACCTTATTCATTGACTTTTTAATAAATGCAATATGTTTTCTTCCCCTTTTCACTGCCTCTCACTTTTAACATTGCCTTTTTTATGGGGACCACCTGGAAAGGAGGTAATCGAACACCATGGATGAGGAATGGGCATGAACCTTGAAAGAACAAACAATGGTCACTGTTGTTCTGGCCCAAATGTCAGCCATCCTGTAGGGGAGAGAGGTCTCAGCATCACACCTCTTTCGCTCATTCTCTCACTCATTGATGCTATTGATGTTTTTGGGAAGCACGGAAGGAAGAATTTAATAGAACAGACTTTTAAAGGAGATAAATGACTCATCAACCAACATTTCCTGTGCTTCATTGAAGCATCCCACACAAAAAAAAAAATTGATGGTTGCTCTTTCATAGCTTAGGTTTTACTGGTATTTCCTAGAACAGTAGTTCTCAAACTTTATAATTTAAAGGCATAGTTCACTTAAAAAATTAAAATTCTGGCTTCCGGTAATGGCGGCGGAGTGAGCGGTCGCATTTTTTCCCCTCTCCCAGTTCACGTTCCTGTTGTTTATTATCTACCTTCACCCGTCTTTCTCAAAGTCATTATTTAGTTGCTTTACGGATAATTCACCATGCCCAAGCCGTCAAAACAGAGCAAGCCATTCCCGAGTTTTTACGGAAGATTGTACTGGTTCGAGTGAAGCTAGTGTTAGCAGCGATCGTGCGGTTAGCAATAAGAGCTCGTTACCTGACATTTCTCATGGGGCTCTGCTTAAACACATTGCCGAAGTTGTTGCAGAAGAAGGGCGGCGTACGCAAAAGATGCTGAATGACTCTTTCGCTAAACTGGAGTCTGGGCTGGACGTGAAAGTTGAAAGCATTATCAAACGCATCGAGGAGGTCGCTGCCGCTACCGAATCCCTTGCGACTCGCCAGGCCGAAACAGAAACTCGTATCTCCGCCATAGAAGATGACGTCGCTCCGCTAAAAAAGAAGCTGGCTGCACTCGAGAAACTTAATACAACACTTACTGAGAAGATCACAGATCTGGAGGGGCGTTCCAGACGGGACAATATTCGAATTTTAAACCTCAGAGAGTCCGTCGAGGGAAGTGATCCCTGTAGATAACTTGACTACTTAAATTTGTAAGGGAATTAATTATTATTAATTCATTCAGGTTTTGATAGGACTCGGGTCTGAATCCCGAAGTTCACCTGATTAAACCGATTTCAAATTTGTTATGTTACACTTTAAATCAAGGGTCGTCCAGCGAGCCGTGACCTCAGTATATTTTAACAAATTGACTATGTATTCTCCTGGCCACGGATAAATACGTTCTTTGATAATTTGTAAGCTCTTAGAGAGGTAACGATGATCTTGGCAAAAGTTTTGACCTGGAAATTATATGACACCAAACCAAAAATTCTTTATAAATGAAACATGAATTTTATTGGCTACTCTAGAATACATCAAAACTACGCTAAAACACACATACACACAAACAGATTATTAGAATGAGAATTGACGAAGTTCTTATGAAGTTTCAAACTTCTAAC